CTGATCTTTCTTTCATACCTGTGCCGGTCCATCTCAGGGTCCAGACGCAGCCTGCAGGTCTCCAGATCCTGTGGCAGAATGTAGACCACACAGCTGTGCCAGTAGTATGAGCCCCCATGCATTTCACTGCAACCACAGAAACTCCAGGAAGAGCTGCTTTAGATGGGAATTTATTTCTAACACACAGTTCTCCATCAACCCTGACACTTTCTAATCCAACTGCTCTTTGGGCTTGCAGCAGGCTGAGCCACATTTACAGAAGCGTTAACAGGTGCTAACACACACTGCTGGTTAACACTGCTGAGTGGACCAACCCCCTGGCTGCAGGTCCCTAAAGGATAGATGGCAGTGAAAGGTGGGCCAAGGTGCTGCATGGGTAGTTAGGTCTGTACTCCAAAAGGCTCTCTGTACTCCATTAGACAATGCACTGCCACTGTACTCATCAGAGGCAGAAAAGCTGAGAGCACACTAGCTGACAGTGCAACAGCCATGGCCCAGAGCTGAGCTGTGCTGACAAGGCTTAACTAGCCTAGCTAACACCAGCCAAAGGTCCCACACCTGTGATCAAATCTGTCTGCATCACAGCAGTTTCATAAACTGGCATGCATTGACTGAGCCATGGTAGCAGTACAGGTACATTCTTAGGGCATGGTAAGAGCTCCCCTCCCTGGAGTGTTTAAACACACTACTCCTCACAGCCATTTGTCAACATGCCTGGAAATTGCTGCCCCCACAAATTAACTGACAGAATGAAATGCATCCTCTTAGCACACAGAAAGCCTGACTCTTATCTATCTTCAGCAACTGCTAAGCTAAAATGAATGACTTTCCGCTACAGCAAATGAGTTCCAGCTCTCTGGTTCTACTGTGGAAGTAGCAGGCTCCAAGAGAATGTATTCATCATTCCTGTAGTTTGCAAAGTGAGCTTGTATCTGCTCCACCAGATTCAGTAAAAGGCCTTGGTTGAAACTTCACCCAGGACTGCCTATCTCACTCAAACGTAGTACCTAGTTGCTTATGCCCCCAGCCTGGCAAATTTGCATAGTCTCTGGGAAGTTAAACTGGTTCATCACAACCAATTCAGCTGCAAGTGTTTCAGTTCTTCATGGCTGCTAAAGCTATGCTCCTGTCTGTGGAACAGGTATGCCTACAAACACCAGTGGAAGTCAGATTTGCTCTACTGGAATTTCAGCTTTATGGACCATAACATTATGTACCTGATTTTCTTGGAAAGGAAGCACCACTTCCAAAATACAGAGACTAAATATTTAAATCTGGAGTGTTGTTGCCTCTTTTCCCTCCCCTACGCAAAATTAGAAGCAGCACTTTATGGACATTTTCTCTAATAGACTTTTGCATAATGTGACCTTAAGATTTCTTCCACCTACACATCACAGAATAATTCCTCCTCCTTCTCTCCCATATATGAGTCTGAACAGCTATTAATCAGCTGCATTTCTACCTGCACAAAAGCACAAATTTCTGTTGACCTTCATTATCCTATGTACTCTTAGTTCCAAGCCTAACTACTTAACTGAGACGAATTCTAAACCATGATATTACCATGCTTTTGTATGCGGTCATTTATTATGTGGCAAAAATATCAACAAAGTGTTTAGGAGGACTTCTGCTGAATATATTGCTTTTTCAAATTGCCCTTCTTGCATACCTGGGGCTGAGCCACTTCATCATAGGCCATCCACAGCCTTTGAAATAAATTTCAGAACCTAGTTACAATAATGCCCAGCTAAATCAGCTTGTCAAGCACAATTGTCATCAGCAAAATTTGATCTGTCATTAACAAAAATCAGAATAGCACGGCTAAATCCTTCATGCTTACTTGGCAAGGTAGCTTCTCGTTCTTTCTTTGTAATTTTTATCCTGATTTCCTAAAGAAATTTGGCTTAAAACATGAAGCCATGTCTGCCATTCAATTCTCATCCCATGCTATGCTAACCACCTCTAAAGCTGATGGTCACCTTCAGCTCAGTTTGCCTGTGTATTTTGTGAAACAATAGGCTAAAGGCAATGTAGTATTTATTAGATATAAGGAAATCAACATAAGAATGAACCACTGGAAATCAGGTTTCATGGATTCTGCTATTCACAACATTCGTTGTCACCTAATCAGTTATTTAGCTTGCTGTTTATGCCAGAATTTGCCTGTGCCTCTCAGTCTCAGGGAGGTTTAGTTCTCTCCTTGCTTCTTTGTTTCCTTTTCTTCCCTTTCTTCCCCAGTCCCTCCAATTCTGTGGTCTAACCCAAACCAAAAATCTGCAGCGTTTAAGCTCTGTAAATCATTCTGTTCCTTTCTCCTAACTGCCCTGCCCAGTTGTCTGTCAACTCATCAGCCAGGTAGCACATGAGCAGTCTCCTCCTGCAGTTCATCTCCCACACCACTCAGGTCCCCCGCACTTGGTTTCTCAATCCGTCTGCTGCCCTCTTCTCTATTTTGAAACTTGAACCTCCAGCACATGTGCTTCCACAGTCTTAACTTCTTAATTAACCCGTTTGATGTGCCCTCCCCATCTTCTATTCACCCGACAAGGGTTCCTTTCTCCCTGCAGAGGTCCACTGGAGTTATTATCCCACCCTATCTCTCCTCAGAGCCCAGAACCCAGTGACTTCTGTGGGCACAGCCCTCTCCAACATGGTCCACTTACCACAAGAGGCTCAGTCCGTGGTCTGGGCATGTAGCGAAAGGTCTCTCGAAGGAAAGTGGTTATCTCCAGGAGAAGCTGACAGGCTGCCATTTTCAGTGCAAAAGGACAACAACATTTGGTAGGATTCACAGTGCCTAGGAAAGAATATTTCTGTCCTGAGCAAGGAGTTTATACAAGATCAGGAACCAAGAGGTGATGGACATTTTCACATATGGTGCACAATACAAGCTGCACTGAAAAAGATGAAAACCCAGACCCCTGTCTGTGCTACTTTTCCTACACAAGAAGAAACATAGTGAAGCCATGTATTTACCAGCACATGCAATAGTACTAACGTACTTTCAAATATAGAAAATTTTCTCTAAATAGATATAGTCAGCAAAGAGATTCTTCACTGAGGTACTACCCTGGAAAAGACAGCCTCTTTTGAAGTCAGGCTGCTTTATTTGTGACAGGAATCCATGTGTTATTTAGAGATAATCAAGAGAAAAAAAGTCAAACTGCTTAATCAAATTATATATCCAAATGCTTAACCTAAAACAAAGTGGGAAGGGTAAGAGGAATAATCAAAATACTTGAAGCTTTGTCTCAGTTGAGCCTAAAAAGTCATCTTCAAAGCCCATACATTTTGTAACCCACCTAATGCCATTCAGAGCTTGAAAAGTGTGAAGGATTCTTCAGTGTTTGATCAATTGAAAAATACTATTTTGAATAACAGAAAGCAAAAAAAGTAAGTTAGTTGTGACAACAACTAACCACACCCATTTTTTTAGTAATGCCTGATATTACCATCTACACACACTTCAGAGAGATTAGGGTTTCCACTTGCTTTCCCCACGTATGATCTAATTACTTTCTGCAAAGAAAAAGACTGAACCAAACAAGTGAGAAGACACTGCAGGGATTAGATAAAACCACAGAAATTCTGTGATGCTTGCTAAGTCTTCTGTACGCATTACCAGTAATGAATTGAGGACTTTGTAAGGACTAAAATAATCTGAACTATCAGATGCAGACGAGACATACAGTATAACAGAATATCCAACTGCATATTTTATGGTCCTCAATGTACTCCTTACAGCATACAGAGCAGCTTTTGCAAAACCTCTGCCTTCAGCA